ATACACTAAATATTACAGCGACATTGTATACCTAAAGAACATTCTCCCCAAAGTATAACTAACTACAGTTGTAGATAAATAATGTGTTTTTGATTTTGATCAATCTCAGTTTTGATGGTTTTAAATGCAATCCCAGCTGGTAGAAGAACTTCTTGTTCAATTGGGAAAGTAGAAATGTGTTCTATATCGTAAGCCCTTGTTGTACTTAGTTTTATATTTTGAATATCTATAACTAACAGTGTATTTCCAAATACTTCTGCTAATTCTCTACTTTTACTTGTGGATGTGAATCCCGCCCATGTTTTCCATTGGCCAATAGAATCTCGGTACGTTTGAATTATTTCCGGCGTATAAAAAACACCTCTATAAACAGTACCTAAATATTCCTCACATGTTCGTCCGTAATCTCGAAGTAAATAGCAATACGGTCCTAGAGTCTCCAATTTATCATTATTATTTTCTCTTAGTGTTTCATTGACTAATTTGTAAAGAAAGCTATCTCGAGTAAAGAGATGAACACAAAGTTTCGAAATTGCTTTTCTAGAACTCCTCTTTACTGTTATTAACTGATTGGCGATCCATTCTGCTTCTGATCGTGGTCCAATTAATTTTCCTTCTCTGATTATTCCACGAGCTGCGGCTTCTACACATTCCGGAATATTTAAGCAATAACGTTTACCCAATGGGGAATTGAGCCAATTTAAAATAAATGGACACCATTCATCACCGGATCCGTACGATGCCACAGAGCGAACGAGAGCAGTTTCTGGATAACAAAATCGTTCTTCACGAAGACATTCTTGTCTTCTACCACCTATAGTTCGTCTTACTTGTCGTTGTTTTGTTTTATCGCTGCTTTCGATCTGTAGAAAACGTCTCAAATCAATCATGTATTCATCTATTGTAGCATATGGCAGACTTTTTGAGTAAGCATCTTCAATTATTTCATTCTTAATGTCCGAATATTTGATCCATTTTTGGTCGGTCTCATTACTTGACCATGGATCATTGCTTGCATTAAACCACCAAATCACCACATTTTCTTCATTATTCACATCAGCTGATGCCATGTCGATAACTGAGAAAAAAGCTAAAAATAGCAAAACTGTAGGGGACACCGTTAAACCTTTAGTTTATAGAACCGTGTGTTTCTTTTCCCTTAGAGAAGATTATATCTAAGTTTCTTAAGAAAGCTAAATTAAGGGCCTCC